TATATATATATATATATATATATATATATATATCAGTCAACGGTGACTACTTACAAAGGAAAGTACAGATGAAAGTATAAAATTTCACAGGTTTAAACCTCAAAATAAGCATAATAATAAAAAAAATTTCACTTTTCTGCTAACTTTACACAGTCACTAAAGACGTCAGCTAATCCTCTGAGCTACTCTTCTTGCGGTTTTACATTTCTAAGTGGAGGAAGGAATTAATAAACGAAAAAGAAGTTGTGCAGAGCTTAAATGAACTTGAACAATTAGAAAAAACGAAGCGTAAGACAAAAGGCAAACAATTTACAATACCTATATGAAACTGATGTGAGAAAAAAACCTTTTTCACAAGTATGTATTTTGATTTACTCTATCTTACTTTATATATAATATATTTTATATGAAATGTATATATTTATTTATTTATAGTTTAGAAGTGCAAAACAAATTTGAATCAAGTCATCTTTATTTAAAGAAAGAAGAAAAGCAGAAGAAAAAAAAACGAAACAAAATAAACGAGATAAAGCTGGTTAGCTTTACTTAAATGTTATCTTAAGAGGTCGTATTTCAATGAACACAAATCACGGAAATCTTTTGCCCATTGATGTGAAAATAATAAAAATAATAATGCGAACAAAATACTTCCACATTTCAATTACTCGACGTAACAAGGATGCTAGATGAATCCACCGCAACAATTCTTTTTGCCAGGATGAGCGCAGAAGGCTGTCGCTTTCCTCGTTGCTGACAATGTTACAAATGTTTCAAATAGTTCATGAGTTCTCGCAATGTTTTTTGACTAAGAACGAGAGAATACTGAGAAATTTTTGACTCAGGTAACTACTGTCAAGCATATAATAAAATAAGGAGGAAAGAAAAAGAAACAAAATGAATGAACTGCAAAGTTGGGAACGGAAAGCATGTGATGATGGTGATGATGATCGAACGAAAATTGCAAACTCGCCAAGGAGCTGCAGAGGTGAAGCATTAGGGGGTAACAGTGGGGTTTAGCCAATCGGCGCTTTTTGTGGCTAATCAGCGTATGCAAGCAGTGTTTTCCTGGGTTCCTAGAGCTGTATTCGCTATGGCTGTTTAAGATGTTGAAAAAGTGTTCAGTTTTCCATTGGTGGCAAATGCAGCTGCAGGAAGAGCGGGATTTTTTTAGCGGTGAACCCCCGAAGATTTCGTTTTGTTATGTCACAGAGGTGCGGTAATTTAGTCGGTCTGTTGGCGGAATAGTTTTTTGTAACGGTAGATCTGAAAGGAGAGGAAGGATAGGTGAGAAGTTGAATAAAAGACGATTTGTGAATAAAGTAGGCTAATTAATTGTCCACAATAATCACAGTTATTGTTTTCTTTTTTCTTTTCTGTTTATGCTGTCAAAAAGTGTTATGCTGATCTGACCTGTTAAGGCTGAAAGTGTAATTTAGATGGAAGGTGTTACATATAAGATGATAACAGTTAAGTTTTTCTTTTTTCTTTAATTTTCTGCTTAATTGGCAGATGACTGCAGCGGTAGTTGCAAAAAATTATCTTACGAAAACTGGATCGTAATTTTTGTTGATTCGCTTCAAGAGTTATAAACAGCAAAAAAAACTTCATAACTGTATAAATTTACGTGCTGCAGGTTGAATCATCTATTTGCACTCATATGACAGTGTCGGAAATGTGTACAGCTGGCGAACAGGAAGGAAAATCAAAGTAATTGCACTTTAGAATAAAAATTATGAGATTGATGTAGAGGCTTAACTGAATTAAAACTCAACCTCTTCGATGCCTTCTTTTGTAATGAAAAAATTTTGTTTGGAATAGTTTTTAAGAATGCTTTATATTACTTTGAATGTAACATTTTATCACTGCACAGTATCGTTCATCATCAGCTTTTGACATCTGTCTCCAGTTTCTGAAACCATGTTGTCATTTTATATTATTGTGCAACTTTGTTGCTTCTGTTCTTGAGTTAATTTTTAAAAGCAAATGTAAAACTTGAAGAAATGAATGTTTTAGTAGCAGTAGCTCATTTCTTGTAGAAAAACATTGAGAGTTAGTGGCGAAAAAGGTCGTGGTTAAAAATCCTTTTTATTTTTTTCCTTTGGCGAGTACAATCTCGAAACTTAACAAAAGTAGCTAAAAACATACTTGAGCTTTTGTAAAAAATTACAAGGGTGTTTTTGTTTCTAATCAAGCTTTTGTGAAATTCTCTTTCAAATTTAAGAATAATATGGTGTTTTTTCAAATCTAATGATTTTTTTTTTTTCAGTTAAATATTGGGAGATGGCTTACCTTGAAAACCTGTTTATATTGAAATGGCTTTGGAACTTGTCAAATGAATGTTATTGGTGAGTTTTTCAAATTAAATATGTAGTCATCAAGAAATTTAGTTTTATATGTAGCTATGAAATGTTGCACTTATCATCTCATTGATCTCTTAATTTCGTCATTTCACGTTTT